ATTGGTCTGTGGGTGGTACGCTGTTGTACGGCGGTGACTTGTCTGGCTGTATGCTAAAATCGTTTGGGTTATCTCAGCAGTAAATTCCGTACCTCTGTTGGTCATGAGGACCTTCGGGGCGCCTTGTCACCGGACAATGTTTACGACAAAGAATTCGGCCATCTCAGATGGCCACCTTTCGGCAGGGATTTCGTCTCGGCGTAGCGGATAAGGTGGTCGGTAGCTACGACGATCCATTTGTTTCCGACAGCCGACGTCGGGAACGGCCCAAGTAAGTTCATAACGATTTGCTGGAACGGACGACGAGGTCGTTCGATGGGCTGCAAAAGCCCTACTGGCCTTGTCGGTGGTGTCTTGCATCGCTGGCAGTTCCGGAATGTCTTCACGTAATGAGCGACGTCAGCGGCAAGGCGTGGCCACTAGTACTTCTCTTGTGTTGACGTGAGTGTGCGGGAAAAACCAAGGTGGCCAGTCGTTGGGTCGTCGTACAGACCTGCATAATTTCTGGTCGCATTACGAAATGCACGACGATAAGGTAGCTAGCTCAGGCAGGAGAGAAGTTCTTAACGAGGACGTTGTCCTTCAAGAAAAATGACACCAGTCCTCGCCTGAAGACGTTTGCGGCGACACTGATTCAGCCTTCCTTATATTCCGCATGCCCTCTCAGTTCCGGGTCGCCTCACTGTCACTCACTCAAGTCGTCAGCACGTATGATTCCCAAGAAGTACTCATCATTCTGGTCGTCCCGTGGTGGTGGATCGACTGGGGAACGAGACAGGCAGTCGGCGTTGGAGTGTTTCCTTCCAGACTTGTACATGACGGTAAAGTCAAATTCTTGAACTCTTAGGCTCCACCATGCCAGGTGACCTGAAGGGTCTTTGAAGTTAGCTTTAGCTAGCCAACACAAGGCGGGGTGGTCGCTTCCTACTTTTAAATGCCTGTCATAGAGATAAGACGAAATTTTGACGCTGCCCAGATGATGGCAAGGCACTTCTTTTCTGTCGTAGAATAGTTGGCCTCGGCCTTCGATAGCGACCGGCTAGCATAACTGATAACCCTTTCCAGGCCGTTGGTCTTTTGAACAAGGATGGCACCGAGTCCCACGCTGCTTGCATCAATGTGTACTTCTGCTTCGGCGTATTCGTCAAAATGCGCAAGTAACGGCGGTGTTGCAGACGTCGTTTGAGTGTCTGAAATGCTTCAATTTGCATTGTTTCCCATTTAAAAACGACGTTGGTCTTTGAGTTCTGCTAGTGACTCGGCAATCTGAAAAGTCTTTGACGAAGCGTCCGTTATAGGCGCACAAGCCGAGAAATCGGCGCGTGGCCTTCTTGTTGGCGGGTGGCGGGAAGGTGGCGATGGCAGCTGTTTTCTGCCGGTCTGGGCGCACTGCAGTCTTGATGATCTCGTGACCCGAAAGCAGGAGCTCCTTGTACACGAAGCGGTATTTTTCTGGCTTTAGGGTAAGTTCAGAGCTCCTGATTGCTTGAAGTAGGTATTTGAGGCACTGAAGGTGTTCGTCGAAGCTCGACGAAAACACAACGACATTATCCAAGTAATTGAAGCAAGTCTGCCACTTTAAGCCAGCTAGGACTGTATCCATGCTTGTTGGAGAGTCGCAGGTGAAGAGCAGACACCAAAGGGCATGAGCTTGAACTTGAACAGGCCGCCCGGTGTTATGCAGGCAGTCTTTTCTCGGTCTCTCTCGTTGAATTCGATTTGCCAATAGCCGGTCTTGAGGTCCATCGAAGGAAAGTAGCTCGCATTGTGAAGGTGATCTAGGGCGTCGTCTGTCCGAGAGAGTGGGTACACGTCCGTCTTCGTGATTTTGTTCAGGTCGACGCAGAAGCATAGAGTTTTGTCCTTCTTCACTAATACCACCGGTGACGCCCATGGGCTCTTTGAAGGCTGAATGATGCCGTCTTGTAGCATTTCGTCGACTTGTTTCTTTGTGGTCTTGCGTTATCGCGTCGGCGCTCTGTACGGACTCTGACGGAGTGACCTGGCACTTTCTTCTGTAACGATTTGATGTTTCGCGACGGGAGTCTATTGAATTCTTGACGATGACAAAAAGCAGTTGTATTTCAGGAGCAAGTTTTGAGCTGTTCTTGTTCATGATTTGTAAAGCACGGATTAACGCCGAAAGGCGGTTGAAGTGTCTGAATCGTCATAGTGCATTCGGCAGAATCAATGGCGGTGAAAACGTTGCTGACTTGCAGTATTTCTTCGATGCAAGCAACTGTCGTGCCTTTGCTCACGTGCTTGTACTCGTTGCGGAAGTTCGTGAGCATCAATTTTGCGTTACCTCCCCGCAGCTTGTCTATTCCTCCGGCGACGCGAATTTCGGAGTTGATCAACAGGTGCTGGTCATCCTCAATGACGCCTTGCATATCTGTGGACTCTTGAGTGCCAACGGGAATGCTGACGCTGGATAGAGGAGCAACAGTGACTTGGTCTTCCAGCACTTTCAAAACGTGCCTTCCTGACGGCGCGTGCGATTGCAGTGCTTTTTCTGTGGATAGCGTTATTGCCTCAGATCTTAGGTAGATGATGGCGCCGTGTTGACTATTCCAAGTATGTCGCAAGTATCACATACATGGAGCAGTGCTGTAGAATTAGAAAGCTGGCGGAATAATTCCGGTTTTTGATGGTGGTTCTTGTTGTGCAAACACCAGCTGGCGCTATTACTTGACCCCTAGCGGTCCTGATTTCAGAGACTTGCCATGCAGTCTTCACTTTTTTTAACTTTGTCATGAAAAGCCAACTGACAATGGAATAGTCGGCCCCAGTGTCGACGAGAGTGGTGACGTTGTGGCTGTCGAACATTACGTCCAGGCCGCTGGTTCGTCATATGACCGCCATGCCCGCCAACGTGGTGGTCATTGTGCTCGCTGTAGTGGTGGCGGACTTAGGCTTGCGAATGTTATCGATTAGTGCCCGTACTCTGAATGTAGCCCTGGCTGCCTGCGGCTAGCTCGCTGATCGAGGTTGGCTTCAACGTCCTCTTCACGATGTGAACTTCGCTCACGGCTATAGGGGGGCGTTCGGTACATGGGCCGCTAAGCACCTCTGCCATATGTCATGGGGTCGTGACGTGGATGAAGGGAACTGACTGCAGGTGGAATAATAAACTGTTTATCCGGGCCGAACTTGTGACCACGTAAAAAAAGTGAGATTACAGTAGCTGCCTTGCACTAATAGTGGTGAACGGAGCGTCGGCCGTCGATCAACTGACAAGCGGTGAAGCACGTCAGCATTTATACAACTGTCATCGAATGTTCTAGCGTTATCGCTAGCGGTGACGTAGGGTGCAGATTAATCTGTAATGTTCATGAAGTGGGCGTAATCTTAACAAAACGGTCTACACACAGCCTCGAAATTTTCAAACATCATGGACGTGGTTTGTGCTAAACATAGTGTACCATAAATGATAACAAAACTTGAGGAAAGGAATGTGGCAGTAAAGACTTTTATTTTCGGCATCTCACAAGTCTGAATGTACGCAAACCCTAATGCAGTTGTCGTTGTGTTAGGAACATCTTCCGAATACGGTGCCAACGGTCACCAATCAATACCATTTGGCCACGTATAGGCCTTTTTAGCGCTGCTGCCCAAAGACTGCACACAGCCGTTTTACTTTATATTACTTAATTAGCCTTTAATAATTAGCTTTTATAATTAGGTTACTGTAAGCACCGAGAAATTACCAATGCTGTACCAATCTATAATAGCTACGTCAATAACACAACGGTTCAGTATTACCTTACCTACTACATGATAACCCACTATATTAACGGGTGTAAGCGGTCATACCGGTTACTTCAACGTCGGCGAGGTCAATTACATGCCAGCGTGGGCCAGCTTAAACACGCCTAATAACGTCTAGCTGTCATCGGCCGAACGCCGGGAAGTCCTCATCGGCCCGAAGCAAGCAAGCCGTCAGTGGTTAAATGACGGCTAACCCTATAGTTCTCATCGGGCCACAGCAGGCATGCTCTCATTGACCCAACGTGGGAGAGAACTCATCGGCCTAACACCACCTTGCGGACATGGCACCAATGTAAGTGGAATTAGCGCGAGCGTGATGTGCCTACATGGGGTCAATATTACTGCTCACTTTGGCCTTCGTTGGCCGAGATTGGTCCAATGCCGGTGTACTGCCTGGAAATTGTCCACAATGAACTCAAATCAACATACATTTACCCTTCAGTAAAATGTATTAAAACGCGCTAGCGAAGATTCGACGAAGAGGAGGAAGAGACTCGACTGGCTCGCGAGCCAGTCGAGTCTCTTCCTCCTCTTCGTCGAATTTGGCTAGCGCGTTTCAATATCAATATTCATATGTGGTCTTTCACTAAACTCTGAATATAAAGATTATACGGTCTTCCCAAAGACCAGGTTATGTTGGGCTGGCGGTCATAACAGCAATGATGACGGTTATCGAATACTTCTACATGTATATTACGCTGAAAAAATGGTTTGGATATGTAATAGTTTCTGCGAAATGCCTATATGTCATCGTTGACGAAAATGACCATCTGTTTTTCAAAATCACTGCGTGGCAATGCACGTTGAAGTTTGAGTGATCAGCCTCATTTGCAGTAAACTTATTTTGACGGGTCTGACATCCTAATTTCAATTGACCGTACAAGCACAGAAGAACAATGCGCGCCTGTTGTTTTCTCAACACATGTGATAGACGTATTTAAAAAAAATGTAAACCACCTGTATCGCCACTGTACCTAACGCAACCTAATATCATTCCACTCACTATGACAGGTATTCATTTTGTGTTTGAATGATAAAGGCTTGTATTGCTGGTGGTTGTATATGCAGGACTTAGGTTGAAGACTCCTATTTTATTTTTACTTTTAATTTTGGAATGTATTCGTACCATTAAATGCCAGAAAACTAAACGCTCTGATAGTTACTACCACTCTATTTGTCACGCTACTCATGCAACCTATGCAGCTGCGGTGTGTGTAATCATGCAAATGGAAAGAACGTCATGCCGTTTTAGTAAATAATTAGATTGTCTGGCTAACGTAGTTACACGACGTGTTCAAGGCACTAGGACTAATATTTAAAAAGGGTGCAAAGTGCTCTCATTTACAATTCACATTCTCGAGAAGCCCTGATCGCCACCGGTAAGTCTCTCAGGGTAACCTGTCGTATTAGCCGATCCTTGTTGCATTATGCGTAAAACACACAGACATAGGAGCAAGCCTATGTAATCTACAAGAGAGTACATGACAAAAAAAAGATTGTTTCATTGTTTTTGTTAGAAGACCTCGAACTTGCAATGGCAGTCGGATCCTGTCATGACACTTTCTACAAATAAAAACAAATCCCGCCTTAAGACAACGCATCTACTGCATCGGCCAGAGGACATGTTTTCTAGTTCAAACTAATAGGACACTATAATCCCTTCTTCAGGTTTTAATGCTACCAGCTATCTCAAGTAATTTTTCAAGGCAAAATATTCAGGTGACATGGGAAAGTGATTGAATAATACTGCTTGCTTGTGAATATACGAGGTTCTGTTATCGCAGACAGAACAACTCTTTTGTATCTGGTATTTGGGGAACTCATATTGGATGTGCATAGTGAATTTGCAAGAATTCGACAAGCCAGCTATTTCCTTGCCATGTGCGGAAACATCACGTATTTTTTTGCAGAATAATGTATCAAAATCAAGCAATGTGTCTTTTTCAGGTCAATACAACATGATGGCTAGCGTAGGAAGAAGCCTTGTTTATGTAGTGGCTGCCATAATAGGTGAGTAATGCTTCACACCATAGGGAGAACAAGTGCTCGTTGATCCTTGAGATGCTCATAAGGTGGTAAACAGCGATGCTCGACGAACACCTAGTAATTGTCTTTGGAGGTGGTTCTCCTACATACGAAGGTGCGGTAAGGTACAGTGAAAATATCGCACATACAGCGAAAAAGACTCAACAGCAATGAGCCATATGTCAATAAAGCTTACTAGCCGTCTTTGTATTGAGCAATCAGTGGTATATGCATTGCTGCTTGACTATTGAGCAATCAGTGGTATATTCATTGCTGCTTGACTGTCCATTTTTACGAAGATGAGAGAGAGCACTTAGGATGGAAAACCATTTATGTCTTGGTGGGGGCGATACACTCAATGTTTGGCAGAAAAACGACAGTGCCTTCTAAACTTCGGTGCTAAGCCTATACTTGGGTGACAATCGCTTGAGCTTCTCCGACTGGTGACGCTGAGCGTGTCTTGTTGCGGTTTGAGTAGCGGCATAAGCAGACTAATTCTTTTTCTTCAGTTTGTAGTGCGACTAAAAGTCAGCAGTCCATTAAGAAAAGGTAGGATAATCTTAACGTATCACGAAAACCCTACAAACACCCTAGTAATGACTGTACGACTGTTTACTGTGTATGGTTTTGGCTAAGTGGCACATTACGCTTGGTGTTGTCGCTTTTTATACACCACTGCAGGTGTAGTAGTTAGCTGCCCTGGCGGCTCGGTGGGGCTTTAGGAACATTTTGAGGTCAGCCAGACTTGACACCGTTGCTGGATATTCATAAAAAAAGATTGAACGCATTTTATAAGGTTATAAAGACAACGCAAAATCGGGCTCACCCTTGTGATAATTCGTGGCGCGGCGCATTACTGTGACTCTACGACTCGTTTCGCCAGAGTGGCTTAAGACAAACAGCATCTTGTGAAGCGCTGCCTAACTTGAAGTGATACACAGAATTAACTCCCCCCCCCCCCCCCAAAAAAAAAAGGGAAATTTCAAGGGCTCAATTTTTGTTGAAACACACAATATCACTCAAAAGTAGCAGACAAGGCATTCACCTCTGTCCTTGCCTTTCATGTCTGTTGGATGACATAGGTAAGAGAAATTTCAAACATTTAGGCATTATATACGAAGCACAACATGAAATAATTCTGCTGAAGCGTGTAGCCTCGACATTCAGCGGTACGAAAGCGCGAATCAAAATCACACGGAATTTCATAGCGACCATATCACCGCCATTGACAGCACAAGCATCAAAAGAAGCAGAAGCCCTATATAAACGAAATACTCAACTTCCATTTCCTGCATTTTAAAAACAAGGAGCCATGAAAAAACTATATTGTGCCGACTTCAGAAGCCCATCACCCCCATACAAAGATTGCAGTTGCGTTTTACGTACAAATTGAAAGAGGTGCATGGTTATCGAGAATATATCACTTGGAAACATCTGTTTTTTAGCAACAGTAGTGCTTTAAATGGCGCAAACGTTATTCATAAATGTTAACTCTCTTTCTCGTAGAAGTTGCAGCACTATATAGTTCATGCAAAAAAAAACAGAGTAAAACGTGGTGATGTACACTGAACGAAAAGGAAAGGCAAAGTATGACACAAGTTTTGCACTAAAGAGTAGAAACACCCGGCCGATGCCAGCAAGTCTCGCTTTTTGGCCTCTCTTTACTTTGTTTTCATATACAGGTAAACAATCTGAATTGAGCAATTTTACTCCTAATATAAAACTTTAAAATTGGCTCTTCGTTTCTTGTGATGAAAAATCGGAAATTGACAACTGGTGAACATGTGTAAACTTGGTGTCCTACAGGCAATTACAATCAGCAGTAAGAAATCCATCAACTTCTTTTTCTTTTGATGTGTGTTAGATGGGCCGAAAATGTTCACTCGAAATGGTACAGAATGAAGTAATTACCAGAAGAAAAAGAAACTTTAAGTAAATAGTTTAAGTAAATAGTTTTCTCTGTGTGTGAAGAAGGTGTTTGAGGCGAAACACTGCTCCTTTTATGCAAAAAAAAAAACCTTCTTGGATTACCCCATGACATGGTTATCACATGACATATATCTGCAGAAAATAAAACGCCTAGGCAATTGATGGTATCAAAACATCTAATGCTGGGAACATTGCAAACAATATCCTTCTATGAAGGTGGGTCTCCTGTCTCCGGCCTGATAAAGCAGAATTTAATAGACATCAAATAATTTTCTCGCCTTTCAACGCAGTTAGTATTTGTAATGTGATAATGAAGACAACATGCGGCCATGTATGTTGTTTCCATTAAAAATCTTTGTGTATTTGACAAGTGCAATTAGCTTCGTGCAACGATAAGTATGCACATTATCAATACTACAAGAAGTGAAGAGCGGGCCTTTATGTGTCTCCTTTGTTACTAGCGATGAGTAGCATCCTAGCCTATGACATTACATAATCTACTGCGACTAATTGTGGTCTATTTCTTCGGTTTTGGTGGTTGTTGTTTACCCAAAGTCCTTTAAATTGCTTCTAATAAAATTGGGATTACAAAAACTTATCTTTTAAGTCATACATGGCTGTGTGTTTAAGGCTATTAGATCACAACGCGTCTTTAAAACTCAACTCTACAGCCCTCCAAGGCGTAAAAACGAGCTCTATATTATAGAGAGTGCGATGCTAACAGTTTTAAGGACTTGGTGTATTGAGCAAGTACCAGAGTCCTCATAAATTTCTTTTCTAAGTTTGTTAAGATATGTTCTTGTGGATACAGTCCTGGTTCTGGGCTTGTTTTTTTTTTTTTGTACAAAAACCGACTTGGCACTCAGTGGGCAGTTCGCGTGCAAAAAATACACAAATCAAGAACAAGCAGGTAATTTCCTAATTTATTTTGATCACTGTCCTTACACAAATATGCTTTGGTAACTTGCATTTTACTTAAAAACGCGTCAATATACAAGCAAGGAAAGATGATATCTTTTAAACAAGAATAAGCAACAAAAATCTGCAATGAATTTCCCTCGTCATATGTGTAGACCACCCATTGTGTACTAATAAAATTCCTCATGCTTCATTTACATTTACACAATTGTTGCATTCGACGAGAACAACCATTATATTTCTGTATTACCAAAATAGGTCTTGCCCAGGCTGGTCTAATATTGCGAAATTATGTTTACTTTTACACGATGTTTTAACTGTCACGATCAGTAGGCGCTGACGGTGTAGTGTGCGTTCTTTTTATTGTCGTTCCTTTTACAGCGACTTTGATGGTGCGCCCCGCTGAAACTGAAGAGGATGCTTTTGGGGGAAGAAAAACGTTAAACACTTCTCTGGAGGAAGTATTTACCTCTCTCCGTGAAGCTCAATAAACTTACATGGTTACTTTAAGAGATGTACCTGCCGAATAAAAAAAAGGTTTCAAAGATTGTTGTTTTGCTACGTAAAAAAAATTATTATTTTCACAGAATATTTCATTACTACATTCAAGTGTACTTTTGACTACGGAGACCCCAAAAAGTTGTTTTGTGTAACTCTGGTTTCAAGCATGCTTTGCTATACGGTGGTCAACTGAGATGTCTGTTCTTACTGCAGCCCGTATGTGTGTGCGGTGCAATGTAGTGGGTACATGGGGCAGGCGTTGGAATAATGTAGACTAGTAGAGAGAGCATTTGATAGAAGCAGAAGTGTCGTCGTTTGAAAGTGCGAGGGCCGACGATAGACTAGATTACACATGGGTGTCTGGTGATTACAGACTGCATATATTCCTTGGGTAAGTATTCCGGTTATCACCACAGCGTCCACCAGAATGACCAAAGCAAGGCGAAAGGCCGATATGTTTCCGAAGTGGAGTTTCTTTAACTGCATGGCTGCACCATGGCACGTTCATCTCAGCGTGCATGATTTGATTGATATGTGGGTTTTAACGTCCTAAAGCATCCATATGTTTAAGAGAGACGCCGTAGTGGAGGGCTTCGGAAATTTCGACCACTTGGAGTTTTTTTAACGTGCACCCAAATCTGAGCACATGGGCCCACAGAATTTCCGCTTCCATCGAAAATGTACCCACCGCAGCTGGGATATCGGAACAAGTTGGGTGTAGTATTTCAGCACGTATTTATTCTGAATGAGCGTCACTAGACTAATTTGTGATGGCGAGAGTGTACCTGCTTTTAAGTATGTTTAATAAAAGACTTGAAGTGGTGGTGACTCGGCTGCAGAGTTAGTTCATGTTTTACTTCAGTATGTATTTGAAAGGTTGCCTCCTTCCTGTTCTTGATTGATTGATTGATTGATATGTGGGGTTTAACGTTCCAAAACCATTATCTGATTATGAGAGACGCAGTAGTGGAGGGCTCCGGTAATTTCAACCACCTGGGGCTCTTTAACGTGCACCCAACTCTGAAAACATCGGCCTAAAGCATTTCCGCCTCCATCGGAAATGCAGCCGTCGCAACCGGGATTTGATCTCGCGACCTGCGGGTGAGCAGCCGAGTACCTTAGCCACTAGACCACACCTGTAGGGCCCCTTCCTGTTTTGGGAAATTCATATAGCCCGGTAGAAACTTTTTGGGCTTTTGCTTCTAATACTGTCAAAAAGACAAAATGCAAAAATTTCAAAAATTGTTAATTGGTTTAAAGAACAGCAGCGTTAGTCAAGTGGCTAGAAAACGTGCAAGAAAAAACGAACACATTTCGTTTACATTTCAAATGAAAAAAGGGAGCTTATGTGGCAACCCAGCTCCCTTTGGTTCGCAGCCTCTCCATCTATTTGCTAACCTCACCAGTGACAACTTCAAATAAATGTTTCATTTGATAATTATTTGTATTAGGATACCCGGCAGCCGCTTGTGGTGGAAGCGGTACTGCCACAGCGTATAACAACAAGAAACCGCGTTCTATGGAAGGTATAGAGACGTTCCGCCCCCTGTCTGCATCTTTGCTTCTCTTTACGCGTGGTGTTATCTCTTAAAGCCCGTTCCGGTGTGCGAGATGGGGCGGTGCGAGTGACGGTGAACGTTCGAAGAAACTGATTATCACTTTTGCTTTGTTTTCTGTGAAGCTTACTCCCGTAAACGATGCAGCGAACGGTTGCTGCTAACTGCGTCGTGCACATCTCTTAGATGTTATGTACTCGTTTTACGCACGCATGTCGACAGCTTCCTAGTGTATTTTTTAATTGATTGATACGTGGGGTTTAACGTCCCAAAACCACCACATGATTATGAGAGACGCCGTAGTGGAGGGCTTCGGAAATTTCGACCACCTGGGGTTCCTTAACGTGCACCCAAATCTGAGCGCACGGGCCTACAACATTTCCACCTCCATGGGAAATGCAGCCGCCGCAGCCGGGATGCGAACGCACGACCTGCGGGTCAGCAGCCGAGTGCCATTGCCACTAGCCCTTTCGGCCCTGGAATTTTTTCGTCAAACCTGCAATTTTTTCGGTGTGATATTCTGCTTCTTTACACCATAAAACAGTCGTGTTTATTTAAAAAATTTGCGCGGTTAGCTTAACTTTAAGTTTAGAACCATGTCCTCAAATGAGGACATCAGGGCCCAATGGGTGCAGTCGAGGCAAAAGTGAATGTTAGTGTAACGGTTTATTTTCTATTTTATACACCTACTTTGGTGCAGTAAAAGTTTCTAGCAACACGTGTAATGTTCAGTGACGGACATGAAATTCTTTGAAGCAGTTTCTCCCATTTATGAGGCAGAGGAGGACATTGAACTTTTCACACTTGATTCTTGGCTTGCCCTTGCAGCCATCCAGCATGCAGCGCTGTTGTTCTTTCGCAACAGGCCAGTGACCGGTTCGGTCATACCTGACATCTTCCACTGGCCTTCGATTGCCACACCGAAGCTTTTTCAATGGCTGCATCGGGGAAGAGGACGGTCTCCCACGCTTTCACGACGCAACAGCCACACCAGCTTTTGCTAGGGCATTCATAACTTGCAGCGTGAAATCTAGAAGGTCCATCTGATCGTTCACGCGTAGTCCTTGTTGCTCAGCATCGCGTCGATATTCCAGCCAGGAGTTCGTCACAGCCAAGTTCATGAAGTGTGCAATAACGCGAAGTGTGCATTTTCTAGAACGAATGTTGGTGCAGTATAGTGACACAAGAAAGTCGGTCTTGTCAACTCCTCCCATGCTCTGATTGTATTCTTGCACTACAGCAGGCCGTTTCACTTCAATGAAAGCACCATCTGTCTTATTCCATCGGCAGACACAATCTTCTTCTTCAACAGCTAGGAAGTTGGATGCCATGTTCACCGCGCGGTTATCCAACCACCGCGTTATGGCAATCTTTCCATCACTGCTTACTAAAGTGTCATGGGAGCCTCTTCCAGCTTTTTTCAATTCTTTCTCCGATTTCAGTGGACACTTTTGCCTCCTGTTGATACGTATAGTGCCGGCAGCATATATCTTCTTCTTGCCGAGTTCTCGAATCACAGGCAAAGATGTAAAGAAATTGTCAAAAACATTTTGTGTCCAAGTCCATACGGAATCCTTGACGTGAAGTGAAGAACCAAAGCACCCATGACGCCAAATTCCTTCTTTTGGTCTGGACTTCAGGCAAGTCGTTGAACCTTGGCAAATAAGAAAATCGTATATGATGCCGGAAGCTCCGCACAACATATACACCTTGACGCCCCACGGCTTTGGTTTACCCTTGACGTAATGTTTTATGTCGAGTTTACCTTTGAATGGTATGATCTGCTCGTCAATGCATAATCGTTCCTCCAACGTAATATTGTGGCACCTTTGTTTGAAGTAAGTCAGCAGCGGTCTCACTTTCCAAAGGCGGTCACTGAAATTATTCTCTTTGGTCACGTCGACAATGTGGAGGCAGTTGCGCAGTTTTTCAAAGCGGTTCCTTGACATATCCGCCATCGCGAACATTTCTGTTTTCAGAACAGGCTTCCAGTATAAACGCAGACGGGGGTATTTGACAACGCCCATCAGCAAATGCAGAGACATAAGTTTCCTTACTTCTTCATTTATTAGGACCGATTTGCCTTCTTTGAATATGGAATACATGTTCGTTTTGTCAGCCAGTTCAACAAAAACGCTCTTGGGCACGTAACGTGAGAAATATTCGTATGGCGTGGGCAGCTCACCTTGAAGAGGTTCATTTTCATCGCAAACTCCCCTGAAATCGGCTGACGGCTTCTGAAAAGCTTTCCGGCACCACGATGTTTCTTGACATGCCTGTTCCTCATCTGACTCGTCCGACTCATCTGACGCTTCCCGCGTTTCAAGGGCGCCGTCATTGCTCCCAGTCTCTTCAAAAACGAAGTCATCGTCTTCCTCATCTTCAGTATCGCCGACATCCGATAGGTTGCCATTGTCCAACTGAGCGAACATTTCATCCGCGTCTTCGAGCGGCACGAATCGGGGCCTACGGGCTCTCGTCGCTGAGTAGAAGAAATGAGGTTTCATTCCGGTACCTGAAAAATGAGCAAAAACAGCTGTACGGCCACGAGACGCCACACCATCACCTGCGAAACGTGGCAACCACCGAGCCCTCGTGTACTCAAATGAGGACAAATGCTCTTATGCACGCGATCACCGAAATACGCATTTGCCGAGAATGTCTTGGGTGATTACATCTTCTATATAGAGTTAGAAACTTTGTGCTAAATTCTTATTGAGACAGCAACAGTGGTTTACGGGTAAAAAAAATACAAAAATCCGCACTTACTTGGCCCAGCGCCCCGTCCGTCGTCTTCCATTTTAGTTGTTTCTCGCTGCTGCTCTGACGAACGTGAGGGCACGAGAACTGATGTCAATGCCACTGGAGATGTTTTGCAAGCGATACAATTTCGGTTTCAGTTTCGTTTTTCTTGTTAAAAACGCCAGAAACACCTTTTTAGGACTTGTCCTCGTTTGAGGACAAGTCCTAAAAAGGTGTTTTTAAAAAGGGCCCAAAGGGCTAGACTACCGCGGCGGGGCAGTGTATTTTTTTATTAGCGAAGCATTTGTTAGCGGACTTCGGTGACTGTGAGCGTATCTATCTATCTATCTATCTATCTATCTATCTATCTATCTATCTATCTATCTATCTATCTATCTATCTATCTATCTATCTATCTATCTATCTATCTATCTATCTATCTATCTATCTATCTATCTATCTATCTATCTATCTATCTATCTATCTATCTATCTATCTATCTATCTATCTATCTATCTATCTATCTATCTATCTATCTATCTATCTATCTATCTATCTATCTATCTATCTATCTATCTATCTATCTATCTATCTATCTATCTATCTATCTATCTATCTATCTATCTATCTATCTATCTTTTTTTCTATCTATCTATCTATCTATCTATCTATCTATCTATCTATCTATCTATCTATCTATCTATCTATCTATCTATCTATCTATCTATGACTTCTAGCTCTACTGGCC